CGCCGCCGCCGACCCCCTCGACGAGCTCGACTTCGTGGACGAAACCCACTCTCCCCCCGCCCTCCGCCTCAACCCCTCCCCCTACTTCTTCGACCCCCTCGCCGCCGCCATCCGCCGCTCCTTCCTCCCCTCCTCCTCCGGCCTCCACCACCCCCTCCCCTCCGCCCCCGACCTCGACCCCTCCAAGGCCGCCTTCGCCTCCGACGACGTCCCCCTCGACCCCGCCGTCCGCTCCGCCGCCGCAACCCTCGCCTCCGTCGAGGAAGCGCTTCTTCTCAAAGACTCCCCCCTCCGACAAGGCTGGGGCGAATGGTTCGACAAGAAAAGCGTTTTCCTCCGAAAGGATAGAATGTTCAGATCCAACTTCGACGCCCTCAACCCTCTCAACAACCCCTTGCTACAAGATCCCGACGCCGCCGCCGCCACCACTGGACTCACCAGAGCCGATAGAATCGTCCACAAGTGGTGGATCCACCACTTCAAGAAAGTCCCCTTCCCTACCAAGAAGGTTCCTCTTAACCTCAATGTATTACCCTCTCTGACCAAATTAGGAACAGAACGAAGAACTTTGAATCACAATACAATTAACAACCATAATCATGACCTCATTAAGGAAAGTACGAATTCTGATAGTAGTAGCAGCAGCGGTAGCAGTGACAATGGTGGTGAATTAAGTAATAAGAAAGATGTTAGGGTTGAGTCTATTAAGAATCATATATATGCTGATGGAGATACCTGGGGATACTATCCTGGCGTGGCGTTGCGTTTGTCGTTCAACAACTTCATGGATGAGTTTTTCAGGGTGGGGAAATGTGTGACCAGGGTGTTTATGGTGTGGAATTCGCCGCCTTGGATGTTCACGGTTCGGCATCAGCGTGGTCTCGAGAGTTTGCTCTTTCGTCACCCTGATGCTTGTGTTGTTGTGTTCTCTGAAACGGTTGAGCTTGATTTCTTCAGTGGTGGATTTGTTAAGGATGGGTACTTGTTTGTTGCCTCTCTTGGTTTAGCTTTTGCTTGCTTGCTTGTTGTGCAAGTTACTGTGTTTTATTTATTTATTTATTTTTTATTTTTTATTTTGAGGGCTTGCTTTTGTCAGTTACAAAGTTGCTGTTGCTATGCCGAATCTTGATGAGCTGCTGAAGGATACACCTGCTCATGTTTTTTCTAATGTTTGGTTTGAATGGAGGAAGACGGAGTTCTATTCTACTCATTACAGTGAGCTTATTCGCCTTGCTGCTCTGTACAAGTGAGTTTTCTCAGATGTCTTGGCTAGTAGGTGGTGATTGCTTAGCTATGTGATGTGATTATATTTGTATAATAATTTGGTGATGTATTTGACTTGTTGATGGTATTTAGTTCACTAATAAGCTGTGAGCTGACTATGACTGTTTATGATGTTTTCTTCTTGGCAAGGATCAATTGTTTTTCTTCTGTTTTGTCAGGTATGGTGGCATCTATCTAGACTCGGATATCATAGTGTTGAAGCCGATTTTGTTCCTTAACAATTCTGTTGGTACGGAGGACCAAGGTTCTGGAAGTGCTTTGAATGGTGCTGTGATGGCTTTTCAAAGGCACAGGTATTGTTACCTTTCTTTCTTTCTTTCTTGCTTTCCAGAATGATTTCATTTTGTGAACATGATTTTCAAGGAAGCTATTAAAATGAGGGTCATGAATGTCCTAATTCTATTTTTGTCATGGACTGAGTATGGTTTTTTTTCATTGAAAAGAGTTGTTTTGTTGATTTGATTGTTCTATCACATTTCTCTTTATGAAACCCAATGGTGACAGTTTGATCAGGTAGCTTCACCCATTAAATGGGATAGAACTTGGTGTTGTATTGTAGTTGGATACTCTTCCATAATATCCTTTTGTGTTTATGCTGGTTTTATAACTTAAATACGTGTCTCCTCCATTGCATAAGCATGGGGAACAAAATATTAGGAATCCCCAATTAAAATGGAGAAAAGAAAAGGATAATTTTATTGGTTGGGTTTCCCCTTTGCAAATTGTTTTCCTTTTTATAACTGAGCACTTGCTTGGTTGATTCACACAAAATGCATTGCCCTGGATGCCTCCTCTCTAACCTTATTTATCTGATCTTCCTTTAATTAGCTCCTTAATTGTTCCATACTACTTTAACTTCTTTTTACCCCTTGCTCTCCTTGCATCCTAATAGTAGCAGCAGCCCTGCAAGTAGGATTCTATATTCTAATTATCAGCATCAATGTGGGGTTGAATAAATGTTGCGTCTGGAATCCTAATTAAAGAGATCTTGACTTTCTAGATACAACCACAAATTTCATTACAATTATGCATATATTTGAAATATCATGACTAAATTTTTTAGATTAATTTATGGATATTCTAATTGAAATGTTGTGTGTTGCCATGCCATTTTGTGATCAATTTGAATGATAGAGGATAGCTAGGTGCAAATGCAATTAATTTGTTCTGCATAGTGCACAGTGTCAGACTTCCTTTGAGATTGACTATTTGTTCCATTCAGTTTGTTCATAAAGGAGTGCTTGGAAGAGTTCTACCAGACATATGATGATACCAGTTTGAGAGGGAATGGTGCTGATCTGTTGACAAGGGTTGCACGAAAGTATTTGGGGGATGAGAGTAAATCTGTCGAGCTCTTGGAGTTGAATGTAGAACCCTCTTATGTCTTCTTCCCTATTAGTTCTCAGAACATAGCAAGGTACATTAGCATTTGTTCAATTGATAGGGAATACATTTGTGATCTAGGGTTGATTAGAGGTACACGTGTTTAGGGTTTTTCCCTATTAATGCCTTGCTTTTTTGTTTACTTTTTTGTGCTTGTGTACCTGAACTGAACTAAACTGTAAACAGATACTTTATTGCACCGGCAACAGAGACTGAGAAAGCTCAACAAGATTTGCTGCTTGAAAAAATCCTGCACAATTCGTTGACATTTCATTTCTGGAACAGTTTGACATTTTCTCTTATCCCTGAACCAGATAGCCTTGTGTCTAGGCTTTTGAATTATGCATGTATCCGATGCTTGGAATTACTGTGAATGTCAACTTCCACCGGTTCTGTCTTGAGATTCCATTCAGATTTAAGTCCAGAAGAAATCGGCAGATTCTTGTCCATGTAGCTGTACAATTTTATTGTTAGTTAGTGAAATACTGGGTTGAAAGTCCCTACTAAAAGGTAAGATATACAGAAAACTTTATAGAGCAAAACTAGCGTTATCTAATGATGATAATGTGTTATGTTATAATTATAGTAGCATTAGAGATGCATTGTTCATCACTGCACGGTTTTGGTGTAAATGCGATGAGTGTCTGACATTTTTTATTAGTCAGCGAAGAAACAGCATGTTATTATTAATTTCTTCATTTGATATTGTGCATTATTATTCAAGACTTGAGCTATCGTTATCACTGTAGTTAGTTAGAAACAAAGCAATTGTTTGAAGAGAAAATCTATTTTTATGTGATTTCATATGGGTACCACTAAAAATAGAATGAACTAATTTTTTTTCTTTTCAAGTGAGACTCAAATGAAATTTATTTAATAATAAAGTATGTATTCCAATATTTTTTTTATTCATAGGAATTATAAAGAGAAATAAGTTCGACTTTAAGACCCATACTACTCCAACCCGTGTATGTATTCGATTGTCTTCGTTAGATCTGTTCGGCAATTAACTAAGTTGGTGGCGTAATGGTTAATGTTACTTGAATTAATTATTAGGTGTTAGGTTTGAATCAAGTCATCGGATCTTTGCGCTACAAACAATGATTGTGGGTTCGGCAATTTTTCATGTCCATCTTTATCTACAAACCTTCAAAATGTCATATTGCTCATTGCTGCAACATAGGAACCCAATGATATTTCAACTTTCCTAAAATAAATAAATAAGGTTCCTGCCTCATTAGGAGCGCTAAAATATCTGTCTTTTTACGACTGAATACATTGCTGTGTATCAGACCAAACATTTTGGACCTCTGCAAGGAATGAGACCAGGTTACTGGATTACCACTAATCCTAAATGTTCTCCTGAAAAATTACCTGTTCATTCAGTGTTACTCAACAGTTTTATAACGATATATATATGGCATGTAAAATGTCCTAGAAGTAAATTTTTTTTGTTCAGTTTAATTTAAAGAAATAATTACTTATTTACAGTTTCTGACAGTTTTTTTTAAAAGAAAAGTAATTATTTTTCAAAATTAAACTTTAAAAAGTTCATTAACTCGTCAGAAATGAATGAAAAAAAAATTTTCATGAGAAAGAATTATAGGTGTTGTCGGGCCATCATCATTCATTTTATTCGAGGCATAGTTGATGAAAGGTGATAATTATTGGAAAAAGTTTTAAGTGCTACTTTTTTTTTTCCTTCCCTCTATGACCAGGAGTTGCTATCAAATGGAAACCTTAGAGTACCAATGGATGCATGAATAATAAGGTTGCATGCAGATTTTAGAGTGAAGTACCTATTGTTTCAAGATTGTACTTCTTATTCAGCAACCACTAGACACAAATCCTTTTCCTGTGCTTCAGGTTGTTCCAGTTTCACTTTCATACTCCCTTCTCTTCAAGTTGTAGTTCACTTTCTATGTGAAGCCTTTCAGTATCAGCAATCAACAGAGGTCTGACCCCACACTTCTTTACAATGTCCAACCGTTGAGATGGACCCTTAAATTTAAAGATGACTCTAAGCCTTAAGTTGTTGGCATCATAGTACAAGCCTAAATCCTTGAAATCTTGCAGTATGGAGGCATTAAAAGCAGGATAGTAGCATATAAATATATGATCTGACTTAAAACTTTTTGGCACCTGCATTACAGTTGTGCAGTGACCAAGAAAGGGAACACTGGGGTCAGAACTAAGGGCTGACTTCACAAAGTGATAGCAATTGACATCTGGATCATAGCCTTCATAACTGTTTTGCTGGAAACCACCAATTACAAGGCACAGAGCGAAACCTAAGAACTTTGAATTAATGAAGCACTGTTGAGGAATTTCAATGTCCAGTGAAGAATTTGATGATCGGTGGCTAAACCAGTCTGGGATTTCAGTTCCTGGCAAACAAACAGAAATGAGAGGACCAAGAGGTGTTCCTTCTTGCAAAGAAGTATAAGCTGCCCCAAAGGGTGCATCTGCGATGATGTTGTTGCATGAATTTTGATCCAAGTTTATGCAATTGTAATAGAACACATATCTATCTTCTATTAAGACAGCCTTTGAACTTTGGACAATCTCAAGTGATTTGCAGTCAGCTGCACAAAACGATTTCAGGCATGCCGGGAGCTCTGGTACAGCCTGGAGCTTCTTGCACTCAATTAAGGTGATCTTTCTCAAATGCATAAGATGTTTTATGCTTATTGGCAAGCTTTCAATATTACATCTATATACACACAAATCTTCCAAAGATGGTGGAAGCTCTGGTAAACACTGAAGCCTCGTGCACTTTGTTAAGGTTAGTTTTCTCAGATGAAAAAGATTTTTTATGCTTTCAGGCATGCACTCAATATTGCTTTCACTTAGTGAAAATTCTTCCAAGAATGGTGGAAGCTCTGGCAGAGAATGAAACCTTTTCCACTTAACCAGATGAAAGTTTTGTTGACGAGAAAGATCTTTCATGCTCACAAGATGGGAAATAACTTTATTTTCATTTAGTAATGAAGTTTTCAAAGATGGTAGAAGATCCTGTGGAGACAAAAGCTTCTTGTAGTTAATCAGAGTAAGTTTCTTCAAATGAGAAAGATCTTCGATATTTACAGGTAAACTCTCAGTATCACTTTCATCTAAGGATAAGTCTTCCAAGGATGGTGGAAGGCTTGGTAAACACCGAAGCTTCTTGCACTCGGTCAAGGTAAGCTTTTTCAGACTAGGAAGATCTTTGATGCTTGCAGGTAAATTCTCAATACTGCTTCCTTTTAGAGATAAATCTGTTAAGGATGACAAAGTCCATGGTTCATCCATATTTGGCCTTTCAGAGGAAGATATTACACTGAAGATTGGAGGCAAATCCTCAGGTTTTGGCCTGTTAGGAAAATTCACAAGTTTTTTACAGGAATGAAGAACCAGAGTAAAAAGCTTGTTATTTCTCCAAACTGATGTCGGCAATTCTTGTATTGATGTTCCTCTCAAATTCAAATACTCCATGTTCTCCGAAGTCACAGAAAACACCTCAAGAGTTGAACAATCTCTAAGATTGAGTCTTTGAAGAGATTTTAAGTGTCTGTTGCTTGTAAGACTCTTGAGCTTGGTGCAGGATTCCAGATTCAAGTAAATAAGCTTGTTCAGATGCTGCCAAACTGATTCTGGGAAACTAGTTATTGATGTTCCTCTTAAGTCCAGGCGTGTCATGTTCACTGAAGTCACTGAAAACTCATCGAGACTTGAACAACGTCTGAGAATGAACATTTCAAGAGAAGACAAGTGAATGTTTCTTGGAAGACTCTTAAGACTCTTGCAGGATTCCAAGTTAAACAAAAGAAGCTTCTTGACATATTGGATTGATAAGGGAACACAAAGAAGACTTGTGCAATGAGAAACATCTATAGTTTCAAGATTTGGCGCTAGAGATAAATCTGGGAGATTAGTTAATTTCTTGCAGGCACAGAGGTTGATCTCTTTCAAGCTCGCAAGACTCTGCAGCAACAAAGGGTGACAAAACAAAGGTTTTAATAGCACAAACATACAACTTTTCCTGCTGTATAATAAAAGAAATTACCTTGGTTCCATCCCAAAGTTTTTCAACATGGCTTTCCATCATGGAAAGCACAACAAGGTTGTCAGGACAAAAAGTTGAGGGCAAAGACTTGGAAGGGTATCCATCCCACTGTAGGTACATTAATTTATTAGGCAATGATTCAAGACCTGAAGGAAGGCGCAAATTGCATGTCCTACTCCTCCCCATATAGAATTTGAGAAATCTTATGTTGATCATCCTTGAGAAGGTCTCATAGCTCAATGGCAAGACCCTTATTTGAGACACATCTAAGATTATGCCTTCAACTGCATCAGTTCCCTGACAAACAAAAAATACAATGTTAGATAATAAAAAGTATCAAACTAACCAGCTTTCTAGCGCGTGCTTAAAAGAAGGAATTTGGTAAATCTTTTTTACCTTGTTATTTTTCAATACTTCATAAATTTCGTATGGATCCCACAATCGGCTACGCCTTCCAGGATCTTTGATAGATTCCTGATGAACAATTTGCCAGCCCATTTCTTGTATCAAGTCATGCATACACACTTCATTGTCGTCAGAAAAAGTTATAAGACCTTTGTCTAGAAGGATTCTTATACCAATATCTGCATAGAAACCACAAATATCTAGTAGCCTCACAACATTTTCTTTATCCTCTCCTTGGAAAAAGCATGCAATGTCCAGGAACATATTTTTTTGTTCATCATCTAATCCATCATAACTCCATCTTAAGACATTCTGAATTTCCTCATTAGGAACCTTCATGAGTTTTCTCAGAGCACTGTTCCATTGCTGCTCATTTCTGGAATGGAGAACTGAACCTAAAACTTTTAAAGCCAATGGATTGCCATTTGCATGATCAACCACCTGTTTAGATAGCATTTCAAAGCCCATTTTCGGATAGGTTTTCCCAAAGGCATTTAAACTAAAAAGGTTAACTGCATGATGAAGGGACAATCCCTTGACCTCATATATTTCATCTACCCCTTTGCTAAGTACATGCTTGTCTCTGGTAGTGACAATGACTCTACTACCTGATCCCAAGCAATCATGTTGTGCAGCAAGATATTCTAGCTTCTTCGGATTGTCCACATCATCAAGCACAATCAAAACCTTCTTTTGTCTAAGCCTCCTCATAACAAAAGTGGATCTTACTCTAGGGGTGCTAATATGGAGATTCACATCCTCTAGTACCTCAGAAAAAAGTTTATCACGTAAATAACCAAGTCCTCGCTTATCAAATTCTTCCCTTACATTTGTCAAGAAGCAACTACCTTCATATTGAGATGATAATTTGGCAAATAAAGCATTGGCAATGGTTGTCTTACCTAATCCTCCCATGCCCCAAATTCCAATTATGCGAACTTCTTTTGACCTGATTTTCAATAACGATTCAATAGGAGCAAGATTTTGATCAATTCCAACCAGTCTTTCTTTTACTTCTGTGGGATATATATGATTCAGTTTTTGCATAACAACTTTGACAATTTCCTCAATGAGTTCATATTCCGTCCTAGCATGCATCAAAAGAAACGAAGGTGAAATAATCACAACTTAACAGGTAAAATCTTATCACATAGTTATTCACCTTAAATAAATAGACAAATATTTTACAAATTACCTTATATATAAGCTTACCCAAACATGCCTTATATCCAAATAATTTACCCTAACAGACCCTAACTTCCCAACGAGGGTTTTTCAACAAATTGGGCTCTTAGAGCACCACAACTATCTCAATCCACACAATGGGATGAGCAACTTCGAAAACATCTCCCCTAATCCTAGTGATCAACAACTCATCATCACAGCTTAATCAGCTTAACAACTTAAACAACATACAACTTTTCAACTCATCATATCAATCAACATTCAACTTGAACAACATAGTTTATCAGCACAACAACTCATCAACATTGTTTAACAACACATCTAAACAACTCAACAACTCATTTCAACTTTAAACAACACAATATTAGCTCAACTCATAATTTACAACTCAATCATCACAAGATAATCTCTTTTCAACACATGACACAACATACAACTTTATAGCAACATACAACTCTCCTCTAACAACTTAACAACACAGTCTACTAATAACATCTATATAAATTTCAACATATTTACACACTTCACGTCATGCTTCTCACAACTCACAATATTATCATCATGTACTTCACAACTTTCAACTATATCATTTCATTTACATCCCATCTCCATCATGAAAGCATCACCAACAACATCATTAATAAATATTTAATCATATATTAGCAACTCACAACATTTTCACCTTGTAACACAACTCATATACAACCAACAAATTTACAATCTAGCTTCCCTTACCTGAAGATTGGTTTTAAAAGCCAAGAATTTGAAAGGAAGAAGAAGAAGAAATATCCTCCAAAACTTGACTCTTGAACTTCAACTCTCCAAAAATAGTTTTCTAGTCCAGAGTCCTTCTCTCTAGAACTTCTCTCTAAACCTCCATTTTCCTCAACTGCCCACAACCTCTATTTATAGAAGTCTGAACTGGCCAGAATGGCCCGTTCCAAATTCGGAACGGCCTGTTCTAAGCTCCTTCATCATGTGTAAAATTCACATGCAGAATGACCCATTCTGAAACTAGAACGGCCCGTTCTGGCACGTCTTGTAACGACCCAACTAGTCACTACACGCGGCACAGCACACCAGAAACATCAGACAGATAGAACAAGTATATAATATAGGATCTAGAATATATATATATATATATATATATATAT